AATGCTATTTTTGTTCTCTAAGTCTCTAAATCTCTAAACCTCTAAATGCTCTAAATGCTTTTTTTTTTTATATATATTTACCATCCAAGATAAAATAATTGAAATCTTAGGATGTACTCATTTTCTGTGCGAACACCCAAATTAGCATAAATGAACCATAGTCCTTTAGTGCCATGTTCATCCATATAAACATGACAGATTTCACTTCTACACCCAATTAGATTCAATATATTTTCTTGAGGAAGTTGAGGATTAGAAGATTTTACCCAGACGGTGGTGCAATTTTCAGATCTAAGATCATAAAGGCTCGCATGGAGTTGGAAAAACTGTGATTCAATATCACTTTTTTTTTATTGAAAAAGAGGAACAAAATTAATAAGATTAAATTGAACAAGATAAAAGAGGTGAGAAAAAGTATAAAGCAAATGAAGAATATAATTAAAATGAATTGATAAAGTCACATACTCAATGTTCACGGGACCTGAAGAATTAGAAATTGTTAATCTTATAAAAATTGGCGGTGATATCGATCGGTAATCCTAAACAAAAAATTAATATACACAATAAATCTATAGTTAATTTTGTGTATAATGAACTAACATTCGAATTATGAAATAAAAAAAAATCCATTATGATTATTATTATTATTATTAAAGAATGGCATAAACTTGATTATTATAATATTTTACATAAAAAATTTGCACAAATTTTTTTTTAAAATTAGATAAATTATATAAATTAAGTAAATTATATAAATTAAGTAAATTATATAGTATGTTCGTTATATACTTTATAGCCATTATATTATATCCGTTATAACCTGAAATGACTATATAAAATTACCTTGTTACCATAACCGCACGCACGGGCTCGAATAGGCTGTTGAACTATCTCTAAATTGAATTTCCAATCTGCGGGTAATCTTTAAAAATTAAAGGTTATCCGCAAGTTTATTTGTAATGTCTGTAAATATAAGTATGATTGGAATGTACTATCGATAAAATTTCGCGTACAATAACTCACCCGCTAAGAGGATTAGTTCTCCGATAAGTGCTTTGCATATCGAAGAAAAAAGTAGAATTTCTTTCTCTCGTTTCTTCACTTATTTCACTTTGATGATTTTGAAGTCTTGTAGCGGAGAGTCGAGAAATTTGCTGATATTCATTTCTCGACATAACAAAAGGATTTTGGTGCAGTGAATACAAAGTCAGGCTGTGATCTTTTGTCGATAAGGAAATTTAGAAGCGAAGAGAATGTACTAGAAAGTCATCGGAAAAAGGTTTGTACACGTAAAGTTCAAAATTAAACTTAATATTAATCAAAAAAATACAATTCACCTATAAATAAAAGCCTGAATAAACAAAAGGATAGCAGTTTTTCGCCGAAAAGTAGTCACGCTTTTTACTAACAGGGAAAAAATACTTTTACTTTCTTATATATATTGTACGTGTACAGTGCTTTATATCGTGTGGGTCACGCATAAAGCTAGTGTCATTGTAACATAAAGAACTTAATAGGTCATATCCGTTACACTTTGACTTTAGTATAAAAAAAAAATTTTTTTTAACTACAATGAGGGTAATCAGAATTGCACAAATCCATTCGAAGTCAATAATAGCCTATAAAACCCCCAGAACTTTCCGAACCATATAAATATAATAGAACTTTCCGAACTATATACAAATATATTTCCGATCCAGTGTGGTTTAAGCGTAATTAAGCGTAATTACGTCAATTAACTGCTATTACTACTCAATTGATTTATAATATTAATTGTGATAATTTACCTGTACTACTCTCTATGACAGAATTCTCGGAGTATTTAATTTATATACATTGGTAATGGTATTGTTTTGTCAACTTATTAATCTTTGTAAAAAAAAAAATAATAATAATAAAAAAATAAAGATATATATATATATATATATATATATATATGTATGTATATATGTATATGTATGTATATATGTGTATATATACATATAAAGATTATAATACTTAATTTTTTTGGATTTCCTGGAATACTTCAGGTTAAACGGTTAAACGGTTAAACAGGTAAACAGGTAAACGGTTAAACACGCGCATTCTAAAGCTCTGCTGGTATATATATATAAAAAAAAAAAGCATTTAGAGCATTTAGAGGTTTAGAGATTTAGAGACTTAGAGAACAAAAATAGCATT